AGAAACTTACTTTAAATTAGCCACTCCAAAACCAGTTTTTCCTCATTCTCTCTAAAAGTGTCCTTCCTGTTGACCCTCTGCCACCCACCCCCTGCCCTAGCTTAGTCCTCTGCCTTTCAGTTTTAGCTTAGTTGTTAAAGGTTGGGGCATTCTCTACTCTACGTCACTGGCATTTAATGTAATCTGTTTGCCTGGAACTTGTTGGACCCCAGTCTGTATCCAGCCACAGCCTTTTCCTCTTTAAAATAAAAGCCTGTGTGGTAATTTGTGTCTGTATGTGGTTCTGACCCTTCTTAAAAATGTTGTTTTTATTTTTATTTTTTTTTTAGCATTTGTGGTGTGTTGTGACACTCCTGCCTTGATGAAGTTCAGTCCATTAGGGAAATAGCCAGTAGGGGGCTGGAGCAGTGAGGGGAGCTAGTGAAGGGTCCCCTGTGGTCCTGAGTACAGGAGACCCATATGCTGTCCTTAGGGCGGCTGTGAGGATCCATGACCCAGAAACACTGGTGGGGTTTGGGAGATGGGACCAAATAGTTTATCACTCTATTATAATTATCAATCTTAAAAATAAGTGAGTAAAAAACTATTTTATATGGCCTTTCTTTAGTTGTGAAGTTAATAACCAAAATGTTTACCACTTGAATTTGACTAATACTTTTAAAATCTTTTATTGTTTATACTATTAAAAATAATCTAAAAATTATGTTTATGTGTGTGTGTGTGTGTGTGTGTGTGTGTGTGTGTGTGTGTGTGTGTGTGTGTGTGTGTGTTGCTTGCATAGTAGAGGTCAGAGGGCAACTTAGAGAAGTCAGTTTTCTCCTTACCATGTGGTTTCTGGATCTCTCTGGCTTGGCAGCAAGCACCTTTACTCACTGAGCCATTTTGCTGGCCTTAGAAATACTTTTTGAAATTGTTACAGATTTACAGAAGAGTCACAAATACAATACAAAGAAGTCCCCCTCACCCAATCATTTGAGATCAGGTTGTCAAGATAGATAATTATCCCCAAAACTGTTCTTACAAACAAGAACATTCTGTATACTTATAACAAAGTTATCAAAACACAGAAATCTCAGACTCTTGAAGATTTGTGAGTCACTTGAGTAATGTCATTTGTAGAAAAAGATTCAGGTTAGAGTTGCATTGTTTAGTTATCTTGAGGTTCCTTTATTCTGGAATAGTTCCTTAGTTTTTTTTTTTTTTTTTTTTTTTGGTTTTTCGAGACAGGGTTTCTCTGTGTAGCTTTGCGCCTTTCCTGGGACTCACTTGGTAGCCCAGGCTGGCCTCGAACTCACAGAGATCCGCCTGCCTCTGCCTCCCCAGTGCTGGGATTAAAGGCGTGCGCCACCACCGCCCGGCAAGTTCCTTAGTTTTTTTCCTTTCATGAAACTAAAATATTTTTAGCTGTAATGATTTTGTGTTTGTGGGTTTTTATATTTACACAAGTATGTGAGTGTGTGTAAAAGTTAGAGGACAATTTTCAGGAGTTGGTTTTCTTCTTCAGGGATTGAAGTCAGGTTGCCTTGTTTGGTGTCAGGTACCTCACTAGCCTTCATGATTATATTTTTATACACACACACACACACACACACACACACACACACACACACACACATATATACACACACACACACACACACAAAGGTCAAATAATAAGCTGCTTTATGTTTGAACAGTACACTTCATATTTCAACCAAAAGACAAAAATTACAGTTTCACTCAAAAGTGCAACCATTAATACAGACAGTGATGACATTTCTCAGGACCTTATTTCTAAGCAGAAATAAAAGAACATACAAGTGGTCACTTTGGCCATATTGTAAGACCTGTGCTACCCTCTCCCCACAAGCCCAAGTTTCAACCTCCTCTCCAGTGCAAGCCAGCCCTACAACACCAGCCAGCCACAGGCTTCTCATGCTCTCGAGTCTCTGGTGGTAATGGTAGACTTACCTCATGATATTTCTTTCTGTCTTTTTTTTTAAAACTTTTATGGATTCTTTGTGGATTTCACATCATGCGTTCTGATCCACTTCTCTCCCTGTCTCCACATCTGTCCTCTGCCCTTGTAACTTCCCCCCAAATCAAAACTGAATTTAAAAGAAAAACCCAAAACCAAACAAACCAAAGAAACAAAAACAAAACAAATGAAGAATCATCATCATCATTATCATCTTGTCCTGGAAGCTGTAGTGTTGCCCATTGAGACACAAGGTTTGTCCTTTAGTCCATTCATCTACTTCAAGTCAGTCTTCATTGCTACGAGTCATTGGTCTGGCCCAAGGCCTCTGGTTTCTGCTCTACTACCGGTAATGGGCCCTCACCAGGGTTCGTCTTGGATATCGTGTTGTCCTGTCGTGGAGATCCTGTAAAATTCATTGATCTTTGAAGAAATTTACACGTGCATCTATCACCACAGTTGAATGCTAGAATATGTCCAGCTCCCTACAAGTCTGTTTACTTACTGACCTCGAACATCCATCTACTGATCTGCTGCACCTCTGGAGACGTGTTTTTCTGGGCATTTCATGCAACTGGAGTCAGATGACAGAAGGACTCTTCCATCCAACAGATGTTTTTGCATCAGCTCCCTTTTATTGTCAAACAGCCTTACTTTCCCTGGACATAGCATATTTGCTTATCCTTGTACCATTTGATGGACACTGACTTGTGTCCATGTTTCCAAAATTAGCTGCTACTCTTGCTTTCTTGCCTCAACCCCAGCTGTCCTGTTCTGTCTTTATTTATTTTTTTGGAGACAGGACCTCACTATATAGTCCAAGTTAGACTTTGAACTATGATCTTCCTGCTTTAGCATCCTGAGTGGTGGGATTGTCCCTGTGCTCTTATTATGCTTATTAACAGACTTATTGTGAAGAGGTATTATGTCCCAGTCTTCATCATGCTTTTAGTTTATATCAGTACGGATGTGACTTTATATTCTGTGGGGCTGCATTCTGTTATTACGGACTACCTCAAGAGCACTTTGTAGAGTGAACATTTTAACAGTTCACTAGTCTGTGAACTAGAAATTTATATGGCATGGGGAGATGGTTCACTGTGATGGTATTGTGTCCCCCTCCCCCCCCAAAAAAAAGCAAAACAAAGGAGATTAGATACAGGGTTCTTGTTTAAAAGAAAAAGAAAAAGAAAAAAGACATAGAAAAGGGCAGATCATTGAATATGCTCTAAAAAAAGGGAAGATGTAGAAATGATAAGATAAAAGGTAGATTTTTTTGGATCTACTAAAAGAATATGGATGTGATAAGATAAAAAGGGAGATTATTGAATCTACTTTTAAAAAGGAACTACTTGTTTTAAATAAGATAAGTAATGAAATTTTTTTGTCTGAATTTATCAAATGTTACTGGACTGGACATTGTTAATATATATAATGGAGTTTTTTTTGTCTGAATCTGTCAAATGTTAATGGACTAGACATTGTTAATGTAGTTCTTGACTGTATATATTGTATATACTTATTGGATATAACTTTTCTTGTATTATAAGCTTTTTTAAATTTTAGACAAAAAAGGGGAAATGTGGTGATATTGTGTTTCCCAAAATATTGTGCACCCTAATAAACTTATCTAGGGTCAGAGAACAGAACAGCCACTAAATACAGAGGCTAGAAAATGGTAGCACTCACACCTTTAATCATAGCATTTCAGAGGCAGAAATCCGTCTGGATCTCTGTGAGTTCAAGGCCACACTGGAAACAGCCAGGCTTGGTGACACACATCTTTAATCCCAGGAAGTGATGGCAGGAAGCAGAAAGGTATATAAGGCATTACAAACCAGGAACTAGGCTGGTTAAGCTTTTAGGCTTTTGAGCAGCAGTTCAGCTGAGGTAAATTCGGATGAAGACACAGAGGCTTCCAGTTTGAGGAAACAGGATCAGCTGAAGAATTGGCGAGGTGAGGTGGCTGTGGCCTGTTCTGTCTCTCTGATCTTTCAGCGTTCACCCTAATACCTGACTCTGGGTTTGTTTTTATTAATAAGCCCTGTTAAGATTCGTGCTACAGTTCACCGTCTGTTGTGTTAGGAGATTGAGAACCTGTGGTGATTTGGTAGTTGGGACCAAAACTTTGCAGCGGTGTCTTCTCTTGGGTTTGTGTGTGCAAATGGGGCTAGATTCCACAAGTGTCCTTAGGAGTGAAATGGGCTGTTCCTACCATCCGGTCTTGGAGTTCATTTGTATAGCATTGTTCTGTCATACTTGATTGGTTTGGGCAAGTGCTAGGATTAAAGGCATGCATCACCACTGCCCGTCTTTTCTTCATTTTTTAAGGCAGTTTTGTTTAGTTTAAATTAGCCTCCCACTTGTGATCCTCCTGCCTCAGCCTCCCAAGTTTTATGGTTACAGGCATGCAACATTACCCTATTCACAGATGATGTTTGAAAGTTGTCACTGCTGCTTCACCAAAACAAAACCCAAATGCTCTTCCCTTAACTGTCACTTAGCAGTTCTCTCTGGCGGAGGGCAGCCATGCTATCTTTCCATAGGTCTGTTCTGTCACGTTATGTATAAATGGAATCCTAACTATGTATATGCTTGGTCCTTTGTGTCTGACTTCTCAGCAGAATGTTTCCAAGGTTACAGCATGTATTGGTACTTCTCTTTATGGTCCAAAATACAAGTGTACACAGCTGTCTTTTTTTCGAGACGGGTTTCTCTGTGTAGCTTTCCTGGAACTCACTTTGTAGACCAGGCTGGCCTCAAACTCACAGAGATCCTCCTGCCTCTGCCTCCTGAGTGCTGGGATTAAAGGCGTGTGCCACCACTGCCCGGCGTTGGAATTGTTTTTGAATAATTCTTTGAATATTCTTGCCCAACTTTTTCTCTTGGGTGGAGCTGTTAGTGCAGGGGGCATCTACATACTTTTCCCTTGAGGAATTTAGATTGCCTTCTGAATTGGCTGTCTGTGTACCTTACCATTGGCAATGCATTTGAATTTTAGTTTCCCTATCCCCTGCCGGTACTTTTGCTTCTTTTTTTTTTTTTTTGGTTTTTTCAAGACAGGGTTTCTCTGTGTAGCTTTTGTGCCTTTCCTGGTACTCACTTTGGAGACCAGGCTGGCCTCAAACTCACAGAGATCCACCTGCCTCTGCCTCCCGAGTGCTGGGATTAAAGGCGTGCACCACCACCGCCCGGCTACTTTTGCTTCTTAACATGGTGAAGATATGCTGCATCCTTTCCTGAACTTTGGAAAAGTATGTTTAGATCCTTTGCTTATTTAAATTGAATTGTTTGTTTGTTTTTAAAGATATATTTACTTTAATGTGTGTGAGTGTCTGAGCACTACATATGTGCAGAATAGACAGCTGCCAGTGAGTTCAGAGAACTGAACCAGGGTCCTCTGCAAGAGTGACAAGTGCTCTTAACCACCGAACCACCTCTTCAACTCTGTTCTGAGTTTTTTATTCTGGATACGCCAGAAATGTAAAATTCCCCTCATTTTTATGGGATTTTTGCTTTTTTGATGGTGCCCTTGGGGACATTAAATTTGTTAAAGTCTGCCTAATATATTTCTTCTTTTGTTGTGGGTGCTTTTTGGTGCTGTATGTGAGACTATGTTGCCAAATCCAAAGCCATCAAAATTTATGTCTGGGTTTTTAATCTAAGAGTCGGTAGTTTAGCTTCTGTTTTTGTGCTAGGGTTATGAGGCTGTAAGGAAGGGTCAGGTGTCATTCTTTTGCATGGTGGTTGTATAGTTTCCTCAGCACCCCTTGCTGCAGATAGTATTGCTGGTGTTTTATTAGCCCTGTTAAAACTGTAGTGTGTGTATACATGTTAGTTACAGTTCTTTCTTTTTCTTTTTAAGGAAAACATCAAAAATGTTTCAGATTCCTGTGCAGAATCTTGACAGCATCAGGAAGGTGCGGAAGAGGGTGAAAGGCATCTTGGTGGATATTGGACTTGAGAGCTGCAAGGAGCTGCTGAAGGTGAGTGCGCACAAGTACCAGATGCCGTCAGTGATGTCCGAGCCGACAGGGCTGGCCTTTGGAGGTGAGATTGGAGAGTTGAGAATGGATACGATTCCTCAAAAATCAGGATTTTTCTAATGCTTCAGATGCCTTCATGAAAGCGTCCTTAGAACTTACCTATCTTTTTAAGTGAGCTATGTAAGCTCTTCAAGCTGTCCTCTGGCTTAGCCTCCTGAGTGCTGGAGTCCAGGAGTGTGCTATCATGCCCGCTTAAGAAAAGGACTTTTAGACTGTTAAAAACATTAAAAGCATTAGTTTTGATGTTTGGGATAATGTGCTGAATTACTTGTTTGAGCAAAAGAAGATGAATTTAATTTCTCCGTATTAGTTATATCAAGTGGATTGCAAACATGTTCCGAGTTTCTTTTGCTTTGATTTTATACAGCTATATGGACTAAGTATGTGTAGTCTTCCAAAAGTTTCAAAATTAAAGTCATAGTCACAAACTTATTGGTCAGTTTGCTTCTCAATGGTTCATTGTCATAACACTGAGACTATGTGGATGGCATAGATAGTTCAGAAATATTAAATAGGAATTGCTGTCTCTTCATAGCCATTGATTATTCTGTGCTTGCTTCATTTTTGACTGGAAATAGAGTGTCTGCTTTACATTTTATAGAAAATATGGTTCAGGGAAACTCTGCATATTAGATAAGTATTTAACCATTGAGCTATATCTTCAGGCCAGTTTCTTAATATTTGAATTTGAGGCTTTGAATCAGGTTTTACTTATAATTGGTAGTCTAGTAGTTGCCAGGATTCCTAACAATAACAGTCTGTTTTGCTGTAAAGTAGGTGAGGAATTATTGAAGAGACCCAGGTAGTTCCTGTTCCTTTGTCAGATTTGTGGGATGGGTGATCCTTTATTCCAGTGTTTTCTTGCTTATCTTACATCTCTCTACTCAGGTTCCATGCTGTTTTTGTTCTCTGTCAAAGAGAGACACTGCATTTCACCCTTGACCTGTTGGCGTGCTTTGTTGGTTTTGACATACATGTGCGTGCTGTGTAAGTCCCTGTCACATCATACAGCAGTCCAGTCATGCCATAAAGTCCCTGTATGCCTTTTTCAATGAATCCCTGCCCTTGCACCACTGGTTACCTCTTCTCAAAGTATTTCACTGCAAATTACATGTGCCTCTTGTATAGTTTTATGAAAAAGAAAGTGGTATGCTGTTCATCTCTATGGAAGATTTTGTTTGTTACATATGTGTTGGGTCCTACCTACTGCTAATATTCCATTATACAAATAAATTGTCTTGGTGGTTAGATACCTAGGCTGCTTCTGCTCTTTTGGCTACTGTGAATGCACTTTTTGTGAGTGTTTTTTGTTTGTTTTGGGAGGGGTTCTGGAGATTGAACAGGGCAGATAAGCAAGGTCTCTACCATCCCCTGCCCTAACTTTTTTTTTTTTTTTTTTTGAGACAGCGTCTTACAATGTAGCCATGGCTGGCCTGAAACTTGCCCTGTAGACTAGAGTGGCCTGGAACTCACAGAGCTCTGCCTGGCTCAGCCTCCATAACACTGGGATTAAGTCATGCACCCACTGTGCCTCACTCAGTCCTAACCACTCTTATAAAACTCTGTGGGTATCTGCTTTGACTTCTTTAAAAAGAAAACTCAGATGTGAAATTATGAGGTTGTTGTATGTTTACTATTACAGAAATGGCTGGATATTTGTTCAAAGTAGTGGTCTGATTCTATATTTGTACATTGCTCCAGTTCTTAGGAACATGTGGTATGGTTTGTAACTATTTGGGGCTCCTTTTTTGATATTGGGGTTCAGCCCAGGGCTTTTTGCATGGACAAGTGTTCTATCCTGGACTATATTGATTCTGTTTTGGAGGGTAGAAGTCAATGTTTAGCCCATTCTGATCTCAGACTAAATCCTCCTGCCTTTGCCTCTCAAGTGGAGTGCTGAGATTATAGTCACGTGTCACAAGCACAGCTTTTGCTGGTCCCTTGTGTAAGGCTTGCTTCTTAGTTTTGTAGATCCTTGTTGTTGGAACAATAGAGCTAGTAACCTGCTCCTATGTAGAAAACGTGTGCTGACCCCTGTTGCTTAATATGATCATTGATTTGATTGGGTTGAAATCTCATTTTAAAGCTCGTTTTTAATTACTTCATCTTTTCACTTTTTTGTGCCGCGCCCCCCCCCCCCCCCCCCCCCCCCCCCCCCCCCCCGCCTTTGGGTGAAGACAGGGTTGCCTACAAGCTCTTCTCAGCCATGTCTAGGAGACTGCCTTGCAGCAGATTTCCTGGTCCTCTTAGCCAGAATTTCTTTGTGAAGCAGCATTTTTATGTCTCCAGCGTTGTGTTGTTAGGCTTACAATGCATAATTATTATTTTTATTTTAAGGAAGGAAAAAGAATTACTTTCTTCTTTTTAAACACATTTGCTGCTTCTACTACTCTCCATTCCTTTAAGTGGATGTAATTACCCTCTTGAGTAATGTCCTTCATGCTGTGGTGTTGGTTGGCTACCTTGGCGAAGTAAGGTTTATCTATGGTAGGGAGACTTTGCGATGGTTTCACTGTGTATCCTGGCTGGTGTGGAACATATTATGTACATGAGGCTGGCCCCCAACTCACAGAAATCTGCCTGTTTCTGCCTCTGGAGTACCAGGATTAAAGGCCTGCACCACCAGTGCCTGGCCTAGGTAGCCTTTCTTGTTATAAAATTCTAGTGTCTGCCGGGCGGTGGTGGCGCACGCCTTTAATCCCAGCATTCGGGAGGCAGAGCCAGGCGGATCTCTGTGAGTTCGAGGCCAGCCTGGTCTACAGCGCAAGATCCAGGAAAGGCGCAAAGCTACACAGAGAAACCCTGTCTCGAAAAACCAAAAAAAAAAAAAAAATTCTAGTGTCCTTTTTCTTAAGATTTTGCTCTGTTCTTTTTCCTAACTGGTGTCTTAGTGTTACCAGCACTGAAATTCTGATGTTTGCTGGTGTGGTCTCACTGTCTGGCTGGGTCTGCTAAGCTTCTTGAACTGGAGCATCTAATGCAGTGTTTTCAATGCTCCTAATGCTGCGACCCTTTAATAAAGCTCCTTGTGTGGTGGCAACCCCAACCATAAAACTATTTTCAATGCTACTTCATAATTGTGATTTTGTTACTGTTATGAATTGTAATGTAAATATCTGAGATGCAGATGGCTTTAGATGACCCCTATGAAAGAATTGTTCAACCCCAAAGGGGTTGGGACCCACAGGTTGAGAACCCCTGCTCTATCTAGTTCACTGGTTTGGAGATATAGTGACCTCATTTCTCTGGTGTTTATTGTTCTCTCCTGTCTGTTCCTGAGACTCCAGTTTTCAGAGTTCTTTGGGTTTCTGCAGTTTCTGTCTTGTTGCATCAAGGTTCCCAGGCCAACCTCAGTGTTATGGCTCATGCCTGTAACCCTAGCACTTGGACTTGGGAGGCTGAGGCATGAGGATTGTTTGTGGCCATCCCAGGCTGCCTAATGAGAGCCAGTCTGTAAATAAATACATCTCCCAGGCATTTCTTCTGCAGTTTCAAATCTGTTCTTAATTCCATACAGTTTATTTTCATGAAGTGTGGTCCATCTTTAATATGTCTTTCATTTCTTTCCTCTATTCGTGTTCTTGGTAGTTCTGGTAATTAATCTCAGGGCCTCACACATGCTAGACAAGCACACTGCCATAGGGCTACAGTCTCAACCCCTGCAGTTCATGTTTTCTGTTTTAAATAAAAATGTTTTAAGAATTATCTGTAACTCCTTATTTTACCTTTTATTTATTAAAAGTTAAAATGATCAGCCTGGTGGTAGTGGTGCACATCTTTAATCCCAGCACTTGAGAGGCAGAGGCAGGCGAATCTCTCGAGTTCGAGGCCAACTTCGTCTACAGATGGAGTTCCAGGACAGCCAGGACTGCACAGAGAAAACTCTGTTTTGAAAAACCAAAAAACCCCAAACCAAACCAAAATAAAACACACACCCCCAGCAAAAAACAGGTTAAAAAGATCATAGATATGAACGTTTTGCCTGCATCTGTATCTGCGTTGCTTGCATGCCTGTAACTGAGGAGGCCAGATAGGCTATCAGAGCCTTTGGAACTGGACTTGGAGGCAGCTGTGAGTCATGTGCATGCTGGGAATTGAACTGGGTCTTCTGGAAGAGCAGCAGTGCTGTTAATCTCTGAGTCGTTTCTCCAGCCCGGTTTTCTTTTTAAAAATTTTATTTTTATTAGTGTATGTATATATGTGGAGATCAGAGAACTTTGTGGAGACAGTTTTCTCCTTCTACTTTTCTCCCTTTTTATTATCCATTTTTTAGACTTTTAAATTATACTGCATGTGTTTGAATCTTTTGCCTATATGTATGTGTGTGTACTGTGTGTGCCTTGGTGCCTGCAGAGCTCAGAAGAGGGCATTGGATCCCCTGGAGCTGAAGCCACTAATGAGTGCTGGGAATTGAACTCTGGCCCTTTGTAAGAGCAACAACTTACCTTAACTGCCCCCCTTTCTCTCTCTCTCTCTCTCTCTCTCTCTCTCTCTCTCTCTCTCTCTCTCACTCACTCACTCAATATTTATTTTTATTATCTGTGTATGACTATTTTGCTTGTATGTCTGTGTCCCATTTGGGTGCCTGGTGTTCATGGAGGCCAGAAGAGTGTGTCAGATTTGCCGGTATTGGTGTAACAGGCAGTTGTAAGCTGCCTTGTGTTGAGAACTGAACCCCGGTCTTCTGGAAGAACAGCAAGTACTTTTCTTCCACCGTTACCTGCTGAGCCATCTCTGGCACATACATCTGTTTCCTAGCATTGCTGTGCTCCTCGTTGGGGCTAATAGTTTGCTGCTGTTTGGAGAGCTGAAAGGTTCTGACTAGATACCGAACATGATGAGTTTTATGATTGCTGGATTCTCTGGTCTCCTTTTATGCTGACTAGTTTTATGTCTACTTGACACAAGCTAGATCATTTGAAAGGTGGGAACCTCAATTGAGAGAATGCCTCCATAACATCCAGCTTTAGGGCATTTTCTTAGTGATTGATGGGGAAGGGCCCAGCCCATTGTGGGTGGTCCCATCCCTGGCCTGGTGGTCCTGGGTTCTATAAGAAAGCAGGCTGAGCAAGCCATGAGGCAAGGGACTAGCACTGGTGTAGGTGAAGGCCGTTGTATTAATTACCATCGGTCTGACTCAGCTAATTCCTTCTTGATTTTTTTTTTTTTTTTTTTTTTTTTTTACTCACTTGGTAGCCCAGGCTGGCCTCGAACTCAAAGAGATCCGCCTGGCTCTGCCTCCCGAGTGCTGGGATTAAAGGTGTGCGCCACCACCGCCCGGCCCTTCTTGATTATTAAAGTAATATCTTTGATAAGTACTGTAAGCTGAAACGTTATGAACTACAGTTGTGTAGGAAGTGAAATTTAAATACCACATTCAGAGAGTTTGGCTTACAGTACTCTGTTGAGACCCTTGTTTCTGTGCATGTGGGCTTGTGTACAGACAGGGTTGGTTCCTCATGTTTGCACTGAGTGGGAACCTTACTGGCTTTGGTTATCTTTGTCTTGCTATGATGTACATGGCCCACACTAAGGGCTTGGGAGTGTTGCTGATGACAGGCTCATCTGGTCCTGTCATTTTCCTAGCCAGTAGCAGGCATTCTTTAGTGACCACAGAGGTCTGCATCCTTTTGAAGTAGCCAGTAACCTTCCAGAGTTCCCAGAAACCTTTCCAGATGGTGAGTCGTGACATGGCTGACTTTGGCCTTCCATTTCTTCCTCTGTGTTTTGATACCAAAAGGTTACAGCATGCAGGTGGTTCTGTTGCTGGGTCCAGGTGTTGTTCTGTGATGATGGCCTGTCCTTGAGCATGTTTCATTTGTGTCCTTAGTGGGCCCTTGTTCTGGGTTCCGTTGGTTGACTTTGAGGGCAGGGCATACCTTGAAGTTCTACCTGCTTCTTGATACACTTTGAAGTTTTTTTTTTTAAATGAGTTATGCTGTCAAGGTAGAAAAGAGTGTCACTTTGCATACACTTTAGGGCATGCCAAGGGCAAAGCAAGAATAGGTTTTTACCTTCTACTTAGAGATGAAAGAGTCATGGGGCCATGTGAACTTTAGAGAGACGTGAAATGCTCTGGTGAATTTCCCTCCGTGACTGCTATTCATTCTGTAACACAGTTCCATTCTGAGTCCTCTGTCACCTGCAGCACTCCGCACAGTTCACCTGCAGCACTCCGCACAGTTCACCTGCAGCACTCCGCACAGTTCACCTGCAGCACTCCGCACAGTTCACCTGCAGCACTCCGCACAGTTCACCTGCAGCACTCCGCACAGTTCACCTGCAGCACTCCGCACAGTTCACCTGCAGCACTCTGCACAGTTCACCTGCAGCACTCTGCTCGGACCCTGCTTGCTTATCCCTTCTTGGCCATGTTAGCTACATGTCTCTCCTGGTGGACTCAGGCCAAGCCAGCTGGATCTGGGCTCCCTGGTTTATGCTCCTCTATGTCCTGAGAGAGCTCATCACAGCACTTGTCAACAGTGTTTGCTCTGAAGAGTTTGCCATTACCTGTCTTTCTCAACTGTGAAGCTGAGCTTAGAGTCTTCTTACCCTGATTGGTCCCAGAGTCTAACAGTGACTGTCTGAGACTGGAATTAGTGTTGATGGCAGGAGTTCTGTCTGCTCACCCATTTTTACCCTGTCAATTGCAAATGGATGCATCCTGCTGTTTCCTTGGTGTGTTGGACCTGGAGCCGCCATTCTTTGCTCTGTCTAGGACTGGCTCTTCACCCGAGTTCAATTCTCAGCATCCATATAGTGACTTAAAATCATCTGTAACTCCAGTTTCAGGGGACCTGATGTCCTCTTCTGGCCTCTGGGCATCAGACATGCATGTGGTATACAGATATGCAGGCAAAACACCTACGTATAAAATAAAATTAAAGAAAAAAGAAAAGAAAAATGATGTCTATCTTAGAAAAAGAAAACACTGGGTATGTACTAGATCCTGGCTAAAAGGTCTGCCCTGAAAGGTGATCTAAGGGAAAGATAAAAACACACTCTTTTTTATGTTCCACAGCCAGATTGAACAGTGCTAATGTGCTACTGGGAAAGGACTGTTGAGGGTAGACGTTGTGCTACTGGGAAAGGACTGTTGAGGGTAGACGTTGGTTTTTCCCTTTGACTTACAGTATATTTATGTGTGTTCACAAAGCTACATTAGTTTTAGAATCTTTATGAACACTTAGGCCTTGCTTACATGTGCAAAATATAGGTAACATTTTTTTTTTTGGGACATCTCCGTTTATTTTTTGAAAAACTGCCGTTTTAATGTGGATCATTTAAACCTTTTTCTTGACACTCATACTTTAAATGTAAAAATTTGTTAATGACTGTACTTCCATTTTTCTTAGCCCATAAAAATTTTCAAAATTATTTTTATTTTATGTACATTGTTGTTTTGCCTGCATGTATGTCTGTATGATCCGGTGTCAGATTCCCTGGAACAGTTGTGAGCTGCCGTGTGGGTGCTGGTAATTGAACCCGTGTCCTCTGGAAGAGCAGCAGTGCTCTTAACCACTGAGCCATCTTTCCAGCCCTATCCCATGAAGATTTTTTAGGCGCCAGATTACTTGCTCATGGATTTAGTTTTGGTAGGAGGGATTTATACTCAGGGCCTTACACACGTGAGGCAAATGCTCTACCACTGAGCTTCTCGGTCCAACGTTTGTACCTTTTTAGTTTGGTGAGTTGCCCAGGCTAGCTTTAAACCTTGGGATCCTTCTGAGTAGCTGGGATTATAGGCATGCACCATCAATTCTAACTGTAAATATTTCTCTAACTCACAAATTGTCACATAATGTTTTCTTTTTTCTTAAGGATCTTAAAGGTTTTGATCCAGGAGAGAAGTACTTTTATAATACATCATGGGGAGATGTTTCTCTTTGGGAACCTTCTGGAAAGAAAGCGGTACGTATTTTTGTAATTCGTTTTCATTAGGGGCAAGTGAATTAAGGCTGAGGCACACTCTGGCTGTTGAGGTTGCAGGCTAATTGGGAGGATCTGTTCGTGAGGTGGGAGAGCTCAAAGGTTGTTCGCTGCAGGACTGTTGATGACGACAGTTTTCCACATGCACAGTGTGGTGACATAGCCGAGCTTTGTGATTAGAAGTGAATGTATAAGAAGATCCCTTGATTTAGTAGTTCTGAATAAATGCTGTAGCATCAAGTACTTTCTCATTAAGGACATTCCAGTTAGTGGGAGACTGGATGTACAAAGGTGAGTATTTGAGATTGTAATGGAACTGAAAATACCTGTTGTTTAGGTCATAGTGTGATGTATTGCATTTTTGTGGTAATGCTGATCTTAACAAGCCTGTGTAGCTGACCATAGGAAAGTCTATACTGCAAAGCCAGGCAGTGGTGGCACATGCCTTTAATCCCAGGCAGAGATAGGCGGATCTCTGAGTTCAAGGCCCACCTGGTCTACAGAATGAGTTTGAGGACAGCTAGGATTGCTATACAGAGAAACCCTGTTTCAGTAATCCAAAAAGAAAAAGAAAAAGTGTACTGCATAGAGTTAAATATAGTAAATAGTACTTGATAATACCATTACTGGTTTAAGGAGGCATGCATTGCTACAGGATGGGGACATACTCTTAGAATTGTGTCCTCAGCTGGTTTCATTGTTGTTGGAATAAGCCACATTCATATAACAAAGTGTGCTTACCCAGATGGACACAGGACCGTGGACACATACCCCAGCTATAGACACGTACAGCAGCATGCTACTGTACTGAACATTGTGACAGATGGTAACACAGTGATGCATTTCTCAATACATTACTCAGAGAAGGGGTACTGTGGAAGCACTAGATAGAATTTTTTATTTATTTTTTTAACTTGCTATCTGTGTAGGAATTGAGCTTGTAGCCCCCCTGGAAGTTGTTTTGGGTGAGGCAGTGGGTGTAGCTGATGACTGCTGCTAGATTTGTGAATGTTGCATATTTAGGCTGCATTACATTTATATTAAAAAAATTCCTTGCTGGGCGGTGGTGGTGCATGCCTTTAATCTTAGCACTAGGGAAGCAGAGGCAGGCGGATCTCTGTGAGTTCGAGGCCAGCCTGGTCTACAGAGTGAGTTCTAGAACAGCCAGGGCTGTTAATCCAGAGAAACCATGTCTCAGAAAACAAAAGCAACAACAAAAATCCTTAATAAATAACCTTAGTTTATAAATTTAACCTTTTAACTTTTTGCCTTTTGTAAAAAAAAAAAAAGATTAAAATACAAGTATTGTACATCTGCATGAAATTATTCTCTCCTTATACTTTTATTTCATATGCTTTACCTACTTTTAATTTTGTGTTTATTTCCAAGTTGTTTTGTTAAAAGCTAAGTTGTTCATGCGCTCTTGGGCTCTCTCTCTCTCTCTCTCTCTCTCTCACACACACACACACACACACACACACACACACACACACACACACACACACACACTTAGACCTGTTCAATTGGAGGTCAGGATTGACACCTCCTACTGTACATTTCATCCCAGTGGCGGGGCTGTGGGGCAGTAGTGTCAGGAGCTGACCCTCCTGATACTCTGTGTCCTCCTCCAGGTCACCCGAGTCACCATCTGGAGTATAGGAAAGCTGCTGCTCTCCCTGGGAACACACTGTTGGCCTGGCCTGCTTCTCTTTCTCAGCACACATGTGCCTGTTGGGTCCTTGTTGTCAGTAGTTCTGAGGAACCTTTGGAGAGCTACAGAAGCTTCAGCTACAGAAGCTTCAACTAAACTCTTCACTGTGTTTTCATGTTTTTTTTTTTTCTCATTCAGTTTTTGTTTCTCTTACCTCTTCTAGCTGTGCTAGAAGACCACACTCTGACCTACATCACTAGACAATAGGAATTTTTAGTTCCATTATAATCTCAGATACTCACCTTTGTACATGCAGTCTCCTACTGGCTGGAATGTCATTAGTGATGCATGACTAGGCATTTGATGTCACAGCATTTACTCAGAAGAGTTCCTAAATCAAGGCTTCGTAGTCACTTCTAATCACAGACAAAGCTTGGCTATGTCACCGTACTAGAAAGAGAAACAATGTGAAAGGGGGCTCTTTAATTCTTATAATTTTATGTATTTGTGGCCCATCACTGACCTAAGCATCCCTAAGTGGCACATGACTGTATTTGGCTATATTTTCTATCCTTCTTTACCAGACTATATTCCGACTTAGAAAAGACAGGTTTACTGTAACACTGTGCTGTTAGGACAGCAGCTTCGTCTGTCTTGTCTCCGAGGGTCACTTGATGCCTTTCAGCTTTTCCCTATGCTTGTTTTGTTCACTCTAGCCCCTAAACATACATAAAGACATTGCTAATATTGCCATTAAGAGGCCTGGAAACAGAATAAAAAGTAATGACGTATTATGAAGATGGTAAATTGGTAATAGTTACAGCTAACCAGTCAGGCATGTTTCATAGCTGGATCTTGAATGAGAACAAAGTGATGGTACTGTCCTCATGAGTACATGCAGTAAAATTGGAAAGATAGAAGACTAGCATGCCTCTATGCAATGATGACACACAAAACATGAAACAGTTCGTATTTATAAGTAAATAACATGAGACTCAGAAACAAAAATCCTGAATGATTTCTTGGATGTATTGAATCTAGATTTCAAAGTATTTAAAAGGATCTGAACTGGAAGGGGGTATATTTGGGTTAAGGGGCAGCAGGTTTTACACGCAAGGTGCATTCACTAGGTTACAGGAGCAGGGAGAAGAGGGCTTAGAGACTGAAGGGGATGAATATGAAGTACATCATATACATGTATGAAGAAACTGATGAAACCAGGTGTTTTCTTTCAGTGTAGGCTAGCTTTTTAAAAGAACAGTGGAAGTTGTTAAGAGGATTGATATTGAAGACAGTGAGATTCCCAAAGATCCAAAAAGGCCTTGGTCAGAAACTTCTCTCTTGGCACCATGACAGAAACAGCTGAAACACGTTTCTTTGTGATGTTTACCAATAGGTTGGGTCAGTCTGGGTGTGATGCTGACACACACCTGTCATTCTAGCATACAGGCAGTAGAAGCAGGGACATCAGGTGGTGCTGCAGCTGGACACATGAGACCCTGTGTAGCTAGAGTTTTCCTGCCTTGCCCACAGTCAGGACAAATCTCTTGTCACTCGACAGTCCCACAGCCGCTCAGACCCAACCAAGTAAACACAGAGACTTATATTGCTTACAAACTGTATGGCCGTGGCAGGCTTCTTGCTAACTGTTCTTATAGCTTAAATTAATCCATTTCTATAAATCTATACCTTGCCACGTGGCTTGTGGCTTACCAGCGTCTTCACATACTGCTTGTCATGGTGGCAGCTGGCAATGTCTCCTCTCACCTTCCTGTTCTCTCAATTCTCCTCTCTGTTAGTCCCGCCTATACTTCCTGCCTGGCCACTGGCCAATCAGTGTTTTATTTATTGACCAATCAGAACATTTGGCATACAGACCATCCCACAGCAACCCTGCTTCAAAAGACAAAAGCAGCAAAACAACCCATCCCCAAAACAACCCATCCCCAAAACAAAGCAAAGGTTTGATTCAGTGTTGAGTTTATTGCAAGCTTTGGGTATTTTAAATGAGCCAAGAGTCTATTTATTATATAAGGTCAGAGTGATAAGTCTATGAGAACTGGTATAAAGGCGGGGGAAGATTTTTTGGGTTCTGTGGATCAGTTGTGGAGGAAAATTGTTTGCCAGAGCAAATCTTCAGCATAGGGAACCTCTCTTGATGGCACTTACGTGTCAGCTGCTGAAGCTCCATGCTGCGGCAGCACAGGGACCCTGGCACTGAGCTTGAACAGTGCCATGCTGTTATGCAGCATCCTGCACCCTGCTTCTATAGGCTGAGAGGCAGATGATGGCTTAATTCAGTTTCCAGCTGACCAGGAGCCCCAGCAGCATAGGCAAACTCAGAAAATGAACCTCTTCCAGCCAGTAAGAACTTCGATGGTTAGCTCATCAGCCAGAGGTCCCACTGTAGTTATATTTGATGAAGATGTTGGCTTTGTTGGAGTCTTGTGATACACTATTTGTTTAGAAGACAAATATGGAAAAGAAAGTGTGTTTAATACCCCATTGTGTGAACAATGAGTTGCTGCAGGTTTGGATGTGGAACTGGAATTGTAGTCACTGTTGTTACTGTATTGATGAAATCTGGTTTGCATATTATATTTTCTCTGCTTTTGATCAGGTTGAATGAAGCTTTCAAGGACCATTTCTAGGGATCTTTGAGCTGTGTGAGCCTTGCTGTCCAGACTCTGGTTCTGTGTTGGCCATGGGGCTCTCTGCCATTCTGAGTTCTGAGGCTTATTTTTTGTGCATTGCCTAGTAATTAATGCAAAACCCAGAATCTTATCCTAGGCTTAGCAATTTCTTTTCTTACACATAGAATGTAGAAATCTGTTTTTTTTTTTTTTTAAGCTAAAATACTAACTTTAGGGCAGCAGCAGAACCAGGTTTTCATAGAACTCTACAAGAGCTCATTGTTATGGACTTAAGTTGCCCAGAATGGGAGCAATGTTACTTTGGTTTTCTGAGGGGCATACAGGTTAATATGATCTGGGAGGTGGCTTCCATGAAGTAAAGCTGGGAGGGTTGTGTAGAAATCACTTATCTGAGTACTCTATTACCTTGGGGTGTGGATTCAGTTTTCCAATCTGATCCAGATGGGGCTTTTGCCGATCAAGCATGAGGCTCCCTTTTCATGGGAGATCCACAGTTCAGAAACAGTATTTGTTGAAACCAGAAAATCATATATCCAGGAGTATGTGAATGTCACACTCCATCTCTATATGTCCTGGACAAACAGAAGCACTGTGGTGTCCTCCAGACCTATTGATCACAAAAACTAGGAAGAGTTTGACTAGATCTAATTATTTAAATTTCTGAATATTTAAAAAATATTCCCTCAGACATCTCTTCCTGAGTTGTGTTCTTGTTTTTAAACTTTGCTTGTATATATGTATGTGGGCATACATGTAATGTGGAGGTCGGGACAGCTTGTGGGGATCACCTCTTTCCTTTGACCACAGGGAATGAACTTGGGTTGTCAGGTTTGGCAGCAAGTCTCTTTACCCACTGAGCCATCTTGCAGGACTAAGGATAGTCTTCATGAAATGACCTCTCTCCATACTGGTTGAAGAGCTAGCTGCAAGTTAATTATTATTATAGTAACAGAAATGGATTGGTTTTCATTGAGTATTTTAAAGTAACTTCTAAATAGTGACCCACTTGGACGTCCTATTGTGAATTGTTTGAGGTCTGTAAATACTGTGTGTGGTTACATTGCCTTAAAGGAAGACTTCTCTTACAGAAACAGATGTCTGAATGGCCTTTCGTTGATAGCTGGCCAGGTTGGTGCCAGGTTCAGAATGTTTGAGGACACGGGCTGGGGGGATGGCTTAGTGGGAAAGAGCGCCACGAAAGCAAGAGGACCCGAGTTTGGATCCTTAGTACTGACGTAGAATCTAGGTGTGCTTTGCACAAGTTTGTAACCCCACTGCTGTGGGGGGACAAGAGGATCTTTGGGCCTTGCTTCAAGTTCACTGAGACAGAGAACGGCAGGACACCCAGCAGCCTCCTGAGGCGGTCTGTGAACACACATGGGTGTATTATGTACCTGTGCGCGCGCACACACACACACACACACACACACACACACAGAGTTTGAGGACAAAGCTGTCTCGGGAGCAACAGTGCAGAGTACAGCTTGTGCACACTGGATCTGGCAGTGAGAAACCCAGGTGTGTTGTAATCACAGTACAGTAAGAAGGAAGGTCCATCCAGCTCCTTTCCTAGGATGCCTTCTTGAATCGCTGAGCCAGCAGTTCAACAGTTGGAGACTGAATATGCTTTCTCCGATTTAGCATATTAAGTGTTTGCTGCCATCCTTATTTTAATAATACTTATCCCAATATTTCTCCATCTCCCTGTCTCTCTGCCCCCGCTTCTCACACACACACACACACACACACACAAATAATGAAAATAAATCTTTTATTGTTTGTTGTTTTGAGACAGGGTTTCTCTGTGTACAAACAGCTTTGGCTGTCCTGGAACTCACTTTGTAGACCAAGCTGGCCTTGAACACACAGAGATCTTCTTGCCTCTGCCTCCTGAGTGGTAGGATTAAAGGAGTGCGTCACCACCGCCCAGCAGAAATGTTTATTTTTTTAAACATTTATTTTCGACAGGCATTGGTGGTGCACGCCTTTAATCCCAGTACTTAAGAGGCAGAGGTAGGCAGATCTCTGAGTTCGAGATATATAGAGCTAGTTCCAGGATAGCCAAGGCTACACAGAGAAACCCTGTCCCGAAAAACCAAAACAAAAAACCCCTAGTATTTCAAAAACTTGCTCTTTATATAGGCAAGACCCCTTGAGACTCTTGTGATTTATCTTGCACAGTCTAGCTTGTAGCTTCCAGTATGTCTTCTTTTTTGGAGGGGGAAGTTTTGACTTTCAGTCCTCACTGAATTTTCTCTCTCAAAAGTTTTGAATGTCCTCTTATGTAATGTGCACTGTATATATAGTTACAGGTGTAAGGGTTTTTAGTTAGATTTATTTGTGTGTGTGCATCATGATACTCTCTTGCAGTCTCTACCATATGAGTCCTGGGGAACACAGGTGATCAAGCTTAGCCATAAGTATCTACTGAGTTATCTTGCTGGCCCGAGTAGGAGGTTTTGAATTAGGAAGCATTGTTTAAATTTCTGGTGCTGAGTGGTTTATAGAGAGCCTGCTCTAGAGATAAAACACCAGATAACAGACTGAAGGGGATAACAAAAGTTAAGGTTTCTTTCGTCATGGAGTTTGTCTTTGTTGGAGTATTTAAGACCACGGCATAATATACATATAAATAACAGGGAGCCAGAGAGATGCTCAGTGATTAAAAGCACTTGTTGCTCTTGCAAAGGACCCAGGTTTGATTCCTAGCACCTGCGTGGTGGCTCACAACTGTCTTTAAATCAAGTTCCAGGAGAGTCAATGCCCCCTTTTGGCCTCTGGACACCAGACACATTATACATGGTACACATACATGCATACACTTGAAATAAGTCTAAAAAATTAACACATAACTTAATAGTAACTTGAGATAGTAGAGATTTTATGTGTTAGACAGATGCTGTGCTCTGGGGACAGAAAGTATGTACCATGTGTAATGCTGGCCTGATGGCCGCATGTTGTCTCCTTTACTCTCTGGGGAAACAGGCTCTAGGAACAGAGACAGCTTGACGTCAGGGATGTCACACAATCATGCTGGCCCATGGGACTTATACTACACAAGGTTGAGGGATCAAAGGTTATGAAGTGCCATCATCAGGTTGATGATGCCTCCCAAGTTCTGATGTCTTTGCTTTTTGTCAGCTGTGGTTTTTGCCCTGCACATGTAGGATTTATGGATAGACACCTTTCTTATCCGTGGTGTCTCTGCTCGGCATTGCCCGCTTGGGAGCAAACCCTATCCTTCCCAGGAGCTGTCTGTCCAGGCTGTTGTCCAGAGGCCGCCTCATTTTGTTCTTCGCTGGGAACATGAGTGCGATGAACAGTCTTTGATTTAATTTCCATCTTGTGGTGATGGATGATGTGAGCTTCTCCATTGTTGACTCGGGATTCAGAGACATTCTTTAATAAGCTTTTAAAATCTGTTGTCCTTTTAAAGAAGCCAGGTTAGTTATTTTTGTATTGAGATTTGAACCTGTTCCCGGTGTCCTGGACATCTGACCTCTATCAGGTGTTTATAGGGCTTGTTCAGCTTTCAACATGTCTGCTTTAGAACCGAAAGCTTTAGTGGAGTCTTCAAGGAGTTGAAGCTTCTTGCTCCCATGTTGTCTAGTTTGTTGTCTTTTCCTTTTGTTGATAATGCTTATGGGCTTTTCAGAAACTCTGTACTCTTAAAGATGTATTCAGCATAGGTTCCCATAGGTTCCCTTGGCTCCTTGCTTGACTGCCAGAAGGTATACCCTTTTATTGAAACTACACCTGTATTTCACCTTAATCAGTATTGCCTTCAGTTCTTAAAGGAAGTTTGGACTTCAGAGATGTTAAATATGAAAAGTGTATCTCTTAGAAACATTGTTAGTTCTCTTCTCTTTGCCCTTCAGTAATCTGAGGTTGTGACAGTCGCCTGAGGTTGTTGTAGGTCCTCACAAATCCTGGAGCCTAGTCTTACTGACTGTTGGAAGTCGTTAGTATCATGTTGAATGTGTGTGTCTACTTTATCTGACCCCAGTTAAAGAACTGTATCAGTAAGGAGTGGAGTGGTTGTATGTTTCCTAGAGCGATTATGAGACCACAGCTTTAGTGAGGACTGGGGCCAGCCCTGGGTTGCTGGTGCCACAGTCCACTGTGGGCCTCCATAGTGGATCTAGTCTGCTTCCATCTTGGCACAAGGGGAGGAGTTGTGTGGTTTATATGCTCTGGGTCTCTGGATTTTCATGAGACTGGAGGCACCACATACTCTCCAGCTATTCTAGAGAACAGGTGTCACCATTGTAAAAGTGACGGCTCTCCGTACTGCAAGTTGTTCTTCATATCCACTCCCTGCTCCCCCTTCCTGCTTCTCCCGGACCCTTCTACCATGTCTCCCTCTGTGCTGACTAGTTCTGTGTCAGCTTGACATAAGCTAGAGTCATCTGAAAGAAGGGAACCTCAACTGAGAAAATGCCTCCGTAAGTTCTGGTTGAAGCTAACTATTGCCACATGGCCTCTGCTTCAGTCCCTGCCTCTAGGTTCCTGCTCTAACTTCCCTCAGTGATGGACTGTTACTTGGAAGTGTAAGCTGAAATAAACGCTTTCCTTTCCAGCTTGCTTTTGGTCATGGTGTTTTTTATCCTAGTAGTAGTAACCCTAACTAGGACACCCTCCCAGATTTGTGTCCTTTCTTTTTGGGGGTGAGGGTGTCATCTGTTTGTCTGTCCTGTCTTAGGTCGCACTAAAGATCGAATTTAAGGCTTTGTATATGTTTAGTAGCCCTCCACTCCGGATCTTTAGCTCTTGTGTGTGTGTGTGTGTGTGTGTGTGTGTGTGTGTGTGTGTGTGTGTGTGTGTACACCAGACAGGGTTTACCAGGTTGCCCAGGCTGGCCTTGCACATTCTACCCCCTGGCTTCTTCTTGAGTAGTTGGAATAACAGGCCTGTCTTCCTAGTGCATCCATGTAGCCCGGCTCTTTACTGTCTTGGGAATGGGGAAATAAAGACAATTAAAAGGTCTAACAAGTTGAATTCCAAGTTTTATAATTTGGAGTGAAAAACTAAGGGGAATGTGAAAGGAAGGAGGTGGAGAATTACTACAGAAAAATGAACGGAGCTTATTTTTGTCTGTATCTTATTAAATGAAGTGCTGAGATTTGTGGTTTAGGTGATAGTTCAGAGGTCAGCAAGCCAGGAGTTTAGACTAAATCCGTAAGTTAATAATAGTTGATAGTTTTCCAAATGTTTAAGAAAAAAGTACTACCATGAGGTGGTGGGGCACACCTTAATCCCAGCATTCAGAAGCAGAGACAGGCGGGTCTCTGAGTTCGAGGCCAGCCTGGTCTACAGCGGGAATTTCAGGACAGCCAGGGCTGTCACAGAGAGAAATCCTGTTTTGAAGAACCCAAAAAAATAAAAAATAAAAATAAAGAAAAAAAGTGCCCAAAAGAATACTCTTTGGGACATGGGAAAATTATATAGAATTGCAGTAAGTGCCCATAAATCTAGTTTTCTTGGGGGCACAGCTCTGTCTAGAAACTGCTTTTTACTCAGAACCTTCTGGTGGCAGCAAAACCAAGGCTAGGGTAGAGCACGCTGCTCCTCGGAGTTACACAGACGAGGGAGAGCGTGGAAGGGGGACCGAGGCACTTGTTACCCTGCCTAAGACTCTCCTCTCTCTTGACAGAGATACCGAACAAAGCCGTACTGCTGTAGTCTGTGTAGGTACTCAACAAAGGTGCTCACTTCCCTGAAAAATCACCTGCATCGTTACCACGAAGACGAGGCCGACCAGGAGCTGATGATCCCCTGCCCCAACTGCCCGTTTGCTTCGCAGCCCAGGGTGGTGGGCAAGCACTTCAGGATGTTCCATGCGCCTGCTCGCAAAGTCCAGAGCTACACGGTGAACATTCTGGGTGAGGCGAAGACATCAAGGAGTGACGTGATAAGCTTCACATGTTTAAAATGTAACTTTTCCAACACCTTGTACTATAGCATGAAGAAGCATGTGCTGGTGGCCCATTTCCATTACTTAATTAACTCCTACTTCGGTTTGAGAACCGAGGAAGCAGAGCAGCCAAAAGCAAGTGACCCTGTTTCTGTGGATAAGATCCTGCCATTTGACAAATACTACTGTAAAAAATGCAGCGCTATTGCCAGCAGTCAGGATGCCCTGATGTATCACATTTTGACATCAGATGCACATAGGGACTTGGAGAATAAGCTGAGGTCTGTGATTTCAGAACACATCAAGAGGACCGGGTTTCTGAAACAAATGCATATCGCTCCAAAGCCAGTGACCCACTTGGCCTTACCGCCCAACAGCAGTGCTCGGAGCATTGCATCCCCTCCACCTTGCTTCCAGCTTGCTCTGCCACCGAACAGTCAGAGCCCTGGCACTGTGCAGCCAGCCACTGGGGCCCCTGGCACTTCTGGAAACCTTACAAACTCCCCGCCCACCACTGCTCAGTCTCATGTAGCTCTGGTCTCCAGCCCTTTGCCTGTGTGCCAGAGTAGCCTCACGCTGCAGCCCTCAGCTCCCCCACCCGTCTTTCTCCCTCACAGCGTTCCACTTAATCAGCCTGTGAGTACTTCTGTGCTGCCTCTGACTCAGCCAGTTGGGCCTGTGAATAAGTCTGTTGGAGCAAGCATCCTTCCCATGAATCAAGGTGTCCGCCCTGGAGTTTTACCCCTCCCTCAGCCTGTGGGGCCCATAAACAGACCTCTGGGGCCCATAAACAGACCTGTGGGACCTGGGGTCTTGCCTGTGAGTCCCTCTGTCAATTCAGGGGCTCTGCAGTCTGCCTCTCCAGGAGTAATTTCTGTAGGTCGGGCAGTTCCGTCAGGAGTCCTTCCTGTAGGCCAGGGAACCCCTGCTGGAGTGATTCCGGGGCAGACGGCCACTTCTGGTGTCCTCCCCACTGGCCAAGTGGTCCAGTCATCAGTTCTTCCTGTTGGCCAGACAGCTCCATCTCGAGTTCTCCCTCCTGGCCAGACAGTGCCCTTGAGGGTTCTCCCTACAGGCCAGGTGGTATCACCTGGGCTGCTTCCCTCAAACCAGACTGTCTCCTCAGCTGTTGTCCCTGTGAGTCAGGGTGTGAGCTCTGGTGTTCTTCAGCTCAGTCAACCAGTAACACCAGGAGTCCTTCCTGTGGGCCCGCCTGTGAGGCCTGGTGTACTGCAGCTCAGTCCGTCTGTCAGCACCAGCATCTTGCCTGTGAACCAGCCAGTGAGAGCTGGCACCTCACAAAACACTACTTTCCTTACTTCAGGCTCTATTCTCAGACAGCTCATTCCGACTGGGAAGCAGGTGAATGGAATCCCCACCTACACACTGGCCCCGGTGTCTGTCACTCTGCCTGTGTCCTCCGCTGGAGGCCTTGCAGCTGTTGCACCGCCTTCCCAGGTGCCAGTGCAGTTCTTGCCCTCAAGCTCGGGCACACAGTTGGCTAGCTCTTTGCCCAGCCTGCCCTCCCCACAGGTGCTAGTGAGCCCTGCCCCTAGTGTGTTTGTTCAGGCTACTTCGCCGGTGGCAGATGCAAGTCAGGCACTCAAACAGGCCAAGCAGTGGAAAACATGCCCAGTGTGCAATGAGCTCTTCCCTTCCAACGTCTACCAGGTTCACATGGAAGTGGCCCACAAGCAGAGTGAGTCTCAGCTCTGCCGGGTCTGCAATGAGCTCTTTCCTGCTAACGTCTACCAGGTTCACATGGAAGTGGCTCACAAGCAGGCTGAGTCCAAGTCCGGTGAGAAACTGGAACCCGAAAAGCTTGCCGCATGTGCCCCATTTCTGAAGTGGATGAGGGAGAAGACAGTGCGCTGCCTCTCTTGTAAGTGCCTGGTCTCACAGGAGGAGCTGATGCACCATTTGCTCATGCATGGCTTGGGGTGCCTGTTTTGTCCGTGCACTTTTCATGATGTCCGGGGCCTCGTGGAGCACAGCAGGACTAAGCACCTGGGCAAGAAGAGACTGTCTATGGATTATAGTAACAGAGGTTTCCAGCTGGACCTGGATGCTAATGGGAACCTGCTGTTCCCCCATCTCGATTTCATCACCATACTGCCACGAGAGAAGCTTGGAGAGCGAGAGGTGTACCTGGCTATCCTTGCTGGAATACACTCCAAGTCACTGGTACCTGTGTATGTTAAGGTGAGGCCTCAGCCCGAGGTTTCACCAAAGATGCCTAGCAAACAGAAGTTGACCTGCCCCTTTTGTTTCGGCACATTTATGACTGCTGATGCCTATGAGCTACATCTGAAGGAGAGGCACCATGTCATGCCCACAGTCCATACAATGCTCAGGTCTCCAGCCTTCAAGTGCATCCACTGCTGTGGGGTCTACACTGGAAACATGACCGTAGGAGCCATCGCTGTCCATTTGCTCCGTTGTAGAAGTGCTCCCAAGGACAGCAGCTCAGACCTGCAGGCCCAGCCAGGCTTCATTGAGAGCAGTGAACTGCTATTGGTTAATGGGGAGGTAATCCCTGACTCCACCTTTGCTGTAAAGAGAAAGCTGCCAGAAGGCCACCTGGGGGCGGAAGACCAGAGGGATGGGGACAAGCCCCAGCTCACTCTAGACACCGTTGCAGTCCCAGGTCCAGAGAGAGGGCTGAATGCTGTGCCTTTGAAGAGACAAAAGAATGAAAGCAGGACAGAGGGGTCAGGGGCCAGTGATGACTCTCTGCAGGTGTTAGCATTGGATCCCACTAAGTATGGAAGTCGCTCCTATGAGGAAAAAAAACAGTTTCTTAGAGAGTATTTCCATAAGAGACCATATCCTAGTAGAAAAGAAGTGGAACTACTGTCTTCACTCTTGTGGGTGTGGAAAATCGATGTGGCTTCATTTTTTGGGAAAAGAAGGTATATTTGCATGAAAGCAATAAAAACTCACAAGCCCTCTGTACTTCTAGGTTTTGATATGTCTGAACTAAAAAATGTCAAACATAGACTGAACTTTGAGTGTGAATCACAAAGTCTAGAAGACTCGGTCTGAAGTCTGGCTGACTTGGATGCCCCCCTGGCCTTGTTCTAAGTGTCTGAGGCCCTTCAAGGTGTTCCAGATGCTCAGAAAGCCTACTGAGGAAGCACACAGTTCCCAGAAAGTACTGTTAGCTGCAGTTCGGTTTGCAACTGTTTGCGTTTTTCCCTCTGTCATGTCAATGAAATCTTGGGTATTCCATGCACGCCTTGTTTTCCCAGGAGTGTCAGTGTCAGTAGTGACTACCTGGAATCTACAAATACTTGTTTTTTTCATTTAGCAAATTTCTGCTTGTTTAAGAGTACTTGATTAATAGAAAATAAAAGCATTGCTCAGCCTCAGTTTACAGACAGCAGCTAATGTCCATGTTTAGGGAAGTGAGTACTCTGATGTATATGGTCATACTTTTAAGCATTAACTTCTGCTGATTCTGTGAATGCTGTTTGCTAAGAGTACAAATTTGATTTCCATCCTTTAGGTTTTTCCCTGACAGCTATTTTTTAAATGTCATAACTCATAAAAAACCAAATGTTTCCATTTATTAAAAATATCCTGAGCCCGAGGTCTGGTGTGTAGTGAATAATCAAGTGTTGCTTCATAAATAAAGTCTCTGTAGGAACAAAAATGCTTTATGGTGCAAACTGTCTTTTGCTGTGATGGCAAGTCATTCTGCCATTCAAAGGTAAGACAAGTCTTTAGTGCCTTTAGAATCAGCTGATCAGACTGAGAATGCGTCCTTCCTGGAACTGCTGGTCAACTAGTGGGAAGGAAGGGCCATGGTACACATGGGGTTCCTGCTCTTGCATATAGACACAGCGTGAGGTGGAGTGCAGGGTTCAGGCCTAAGGTGATGGGCAGACAGGAGCTCTCGTCTGCTTAGAATAGCTGGGGGTAGATGTGTTAGAGTTGGAGAAACAGGCTTTCCTCTGGCCCAGGTGTTCAGATGAATGGGATGTGGACTGATGAATTTTCACAGTCCTGTGGATGCCAAATCTTGTTTTTTTTCACAATATGAAATAATGTAAAGCACCAGAACTGGTAACGAGGACCAGCCAGCTCTGGTCAAAATCATCCCTCTGAGTGATGCGCAGCAAGCAGAAGGGATGATGGCCTCTGGGAAGCACTGCAGTGTTGCTATATAGAGTTTTAAAAATATAATACTTGCATGTAATTGCTCTACTGTGCATTCTGAGGCAGTTGTCTGTGATTATTGGTGTACTCTGTTGTAAATTCAGAGCTTGTTGGACTTTATTTTTTTCTTTTTTTATTATTTCCAGAGTGTCTATTTTGAATTAAAATTTGTTAAACCACTGAAAATAGAGCTGTTTAATTCTTGTAACATTAAACATTACTCTTAAGTCAGGCAGGGTGGTGCATATTTGTAGTCCTAGCTACTCCAACAGGGACTAACTGATGTGTTCTGCACACGTGTTACCCTTTAAGCCTTACCGAATCCTTTCATGTAGATGTTACTCTGCGACTTGTCTTACAGAGGCAGAAGCTAAGGCTCATGTAAATAACCAGTGGTCCAGTCTGCTCAGGATTTGAGGTATTTCCCTGGATTTGTGCTAAAACCAGAACATCAAATGGGACAAGTTGTCATTCTCTTAAACTTGAGTTTACTTGCCCAAGGTTGGACATGATGCCATGCTGTCTCTAGGCTTCCATATAGCTCTTTAAATGTCAAGATATATAGAACATCTTGATGGGAGACATTTCTGCGGATACAAGCTATCTGGAGATAGTTCTAGTGGTGCTAGGCACTACTTTCAGTCTGGGTATCTGTAGTTAGTGGAGAATGAAAGGGATGCCTGGTTAGTTAGGATAGCAAGACAGAAAAGGCAGCCCCAGCTGAACATTGCTACTTAAAATGAAAGCTCCCACCAGTGCAATGCTGCTAGAAGGTCTCACTTTCACCCCATTTTCCCCTTTCATTACTGGTCATTGTACTTGCCATTCTCTGCCTTTTGCCGAGGACATCACTGTTGGCCCACCTCCAAGCCTCAGCTTCTCAGGAGGTATGCAAGCAGAAGCTCCAGCTCCGTTACTGTCCAACTCCCGATAACTGTCCTGATTAGTAGTCTTTAATATTACCTATTTTTAACTACAGGTTTAAACATCCACAAATGCTGAAGGATCTAGTTTGAAAGCAAAGTTTATTTTTATTTATTTATTTATTTATTTATTTATTTATTTATTTTTTTTTTTTTTTTTTGGTTTTTCGAGACAGGGTTTCTCTGTGTAGCTTTGCGCCTTTCCTGGAACTCGCTTTGGAGACCAGGCTGGCCTCGAACTCACAGAGATCCGCCTGGCTCTGCCTCCCGAGTGCTGGGATTAAAGGCGTGCGCCACCACCGCCCGGCCTTATTTATTTTTTTAAAAACAAGGTCTTATTGAGTAGCCCAGGCTGGTCTTAAACTCATGGAGATCCTGGCCCTGCAACTTGACTGCTAGAATGATGACTTGTGTGACCACAACAGCTTATAAATGATCATTTTTAAAAGAAGGCATTTTTGCCCTGAAGATAATTTTGACTTATTTTTAAGAGCTAAGTTTGTCTAGTTGTTACATGTGCGTTCAAATGACTGGAGTAAATACATTTGTCATATGACAACATACATGACCAGAACAGATGGCCAGGGTTTTCAAGTGTACTTAGGAAACATCAAGTCAGCCACTGCTGATGCCCTTACTCTAGGTCCGAGCTAGAAAAGCATGGGTGGGTAGAAAGGCAGCTGAGGCTTGCATTACAGTAATTCTAAGGCTAGTCTTCTGGCTAAGCGGAGGTTTACCTGCTAGGAAATTGACAGCTTTATCCTGAATTCCATGCTGCAGGGATGGCAATTTCTCGTGTAATCCACTTTACTGCTGATATCCTGATTCTGTTCTTAGGGATGGTGGCAAGCAGTGTGATTTGAAAAGCTATACCTTCAGAACTGAACACCTTTGTCAGCACTCAGTACTGGACATTTCCTAGCTATGTCCTTGCTGTTCATTCACGTCCATTCTTGAGAGTCTACATAATATTCCATATCCGGTTGTCCTGATCATAAAAGAAAAGTTGAGACAGATGCCATCATAGTGGTAGCATATATTTTTGGCATTATTGCCAAATATCAGATGCATGTACTTATGTTTGGGCCTTCTATTTTATTCCATTGGTGTACATGTTTGTGCCATTACCACACTGTTTTTATTAATACAGCTCTATAATATATCTTGAAGTCTGGGATGGTAGTCCTTCCAGTATGTTTTTTTGCTCAGGATTGCTTTGTTTATCTAGGGACTTTTCTGGTTCCATAAGAATTTTGGGATTCTTTTTCTATTTCTGTGAAGAACGTTGTGGGTATTTTTGATTGGGATTGCATTGAACCTGTAAATCTAACATAGACCTCAAAACAAACCTTATCAAATTCAGATAATTTAATGCATCCTATCTGACTGTCATGAAATAAAATTGATAGCAGAAAAATCTCTAGTAAGTACATAAACTCATGGAGATTAAGCAGCTCATTACTGAAAGATGAATGAGTCGAAGAAATCAAGAAAAGAATTTCTGGTACTAAATAAAAATGGAAACACAATAGAATAAATTAACATTTGGGACATAGTAAAAGATCTAAGAGGGAAAGTTGTAGCCTAGGTTAAAAGACCAGAAAGCACAAATAAATAGCTTAATGTTGCAACTAAAGGATTTGGAAAAAACAATGGGGTGTGTGTGGTGCTACGTGGCTTGAATCCCAGCACTTGAGAGGCAGAAGTAGGTGAATCTGTTAGAGACCAGCCTATTCTACATAGAGTTCCTGGAGAGACAGGGCTACATAGACCGTATCTCCAGACGGACAGACAGAACAGGGTAAAAACTAGAACAAACAAAGCCCAAATCAAGTAGATGGCAAGAAATATAAGTCAAAGTAGAGATTAATGAAATAGAAGCAAAGGAAAAAAGAATCTTTGAATGTAAGAGCTGGCTCTTTGAGAAGATAAACAAAATTGACAGACTCTTGGCCCAACTAACCAAATAAAGACATGATCCAAATGAACTGAATCAGGAAGGAACAAGGAACCATTACAACACCAACAAAGAAATTCACAATATTGTAAGATAATACTTAAAAAAGCCTCTACTTGTAGCTAGTTTTCCTGCCTGGCCCACAGTCAGGACAAATATCTGTCACCCGCCAGTCCCACAGCCACTCAGACCCAGCCAAGTAAACACAGAGACTTATATTGCTTACAAACTGGCCATTGCAGGCTTTTGCTAACTGTTCTTACATCTTAAATTAATCCATTTCTATAAATCTATACCTTGCCACAAGGCTCGTGGCTTACCAGTATCTTACATGTTGGTACTCAAGGCAGCGGCTGGCAACCTCTCCTGACTTAGCCTTCCTGTTCCCAGAATTCTCTTTTCTGCTTGTCCCACCTATACTTCCTGCTTGGCTACTGGCCAATCAGCATTTTATTCATACAGAGTAAATCTAATTGAAATGAATGAATTTCTTGATTCAAACAAATTTAAGCCTAGAAGAGAGAAAAAACCTAAACAGATCCATAACAAATGAAGATATTGACAAGAGTAATAAGCATTCCAACTAAAACAAGCTCGGGACCAGTTGGAGTTACAGCAGAATCCTACTATCCTTTCAAAGATGTATATCTAATTCTTACATCATTAAAAAGAAAAAACACTCCCAAACTCAATGTATAAAGCCAGTATTTAATATCAAAACCAGGTAAAACAACAAAAGAACAAAAACTACAGACTGATACCCTTGATGAATACAGATGCAAAAATCGTCAATAAAATGCTAGCAAACTGAAAACAGGCATATGTCAGGAAATCCACTGTGACCAAGTTGGCTTTATTATCCCAAAAATGCAGGGATTATATATATATAAAATAAATGGACTTAAAAGATAAAAAATCATATGATTATGTCAATAGCTAAAGAAAAAAAAAACCTTTGGGAAACTCCAACATGCTTTTATGATAAAAGTCCTAGAAAGAGTAGGACTGGAGGGAATGTACCTCAACATAATAAAAGCTATATAAGACAGACCCACAGCCAACACTATCCTAAGCAGAGAAAATCCTGAAGCAATCCCATTAAAGTCAGGGATAAAGTGGGCTGTCCATCATTCCCAGCCCTTTTCAATATCGTGCTCAAAAACCTAGCTAGAGCAGTAAGGCAAAGGGGTACAAATAAGAAAAGTCATTTCAGTTTACAGATGTTATGTTACACATAAGGGATCTTAAAAGTTCTTCCAGAAAAATTCTAGAAACGATTTCAGCAAAGTGGCAAGAAACAAAATCAACTTAGAAAAATGAATAGCCTTTCTATACACCAAACATTGAGGAAGATCTTGGGCGCACTCCCATTTACATAACCTTCAACCACAAAAAAATATCTTGGAATAAAACTAAGGGGGAAAAGACCTCTACAGTGAAAAATTTTAAATTTCTGAAGAGATTGAGAAAAACTAAAAATTAGAAGACATCCCATATTCTTGGAACAGTAGAATTAATATTGTGAAAATGACCATCCCACCAGATCTTAAAA